CCGCCCAGGACCGGAGCCCAGGCGGCGGCGGCCGGACACAAAGGAGCCGCGGAATAGAAATGAATAAATACGGCGCCCGGCCGGAGCGCTCGCGGCTGCCAATCCGCTTGCAGCAAGTTTGTTCAACTCGAAAGGCTGCGGGTAACCGGAGCCAGGAAAGGGGGTGGGGCGACGAGGCCGCCACTCACTCTGGACTGGGGATCCGAGCCCTTCTGCTGCTCGCGCTTCCCGAGTTTCCCCCTCTTGGCCTTGGGCGAAAGTGTTTTTGCCGCGTCTGCCGCTTTGTCATTTGTCAACACGCGCCACAGCTGTTTTCTAAAATCACACTCGGGAGGAAAGAAAAAAAAACATAAAGGCAACATTCATGCTGCTGCAGAAAAGGTTCTTTGTTTGCGCACCAGTTAATTAGCTAATGTCGCTTCTGGTGGATTATTTACCATTTCAAGCTATGTTTGACATATTTTACCCAAAACTGCAAGATTTTTTAAATGCTGGGATTTTTAGTGTGATCGTTTTGAAAGGAAGTTATGCTAGTTTGCTAGGAGATTTTTCAGCACCTTATGGCTAAAAAATAATAGTTCGCAGACCAACTGAAAAAAATAATGACCACGTTAACGGGCGGACTCTTGAGATTCTTTCCTGATGACATACTGATGGAAAGGTTGTGGGTGTCCCTAAAGGGCCCCAAACTAACTTCCATGCAAATGAACACTACGGGACTGCTAATACCAGAGCGGCTGGAACAAGCTGGGGTTCCTCTGTAAATGTTAAAATTCTCGCACATACTCTGTGTTAAAAGAGCCCTTGTTTACCCCTTATTTTGCCCTACTTTAAAGTTGTGCTGTTTCTTTTCTCAACAGATCTATTTTGACTGTATGAAGCATGAGGTACCGAGAAGAGTAATGAAAAGACTACAGAGGCCTTTGGAAAGTCAATGGCTTTTTATTCCGGAACCTTTTTGCTCACTTGAAAACAGTTTCTCATGCTCAGATAGGGTGAATGGGAGACATTCCCTATGTGGTCACTGATTTTTCAAAAATTCATTTCCCTTGGCACTAAGTATAATTTATTTTAGTCTCTAGAACCTTAACTCTCTTGAAAAATTCAAGCGTACATCGCCTTTTCTCACAGGTCCAAATATATTTTTTAAATCAGTGCCCTCCAAGAACCCACAGGTCAAACACAAAGACACAAAATGGATGACTGAATAATGAAAATGTGATATATAAATTCAAGGGAATTGTGTTTTGTTTGAGATAGGGTCTCATCGCATTGCCCTGGCTGGTCTGGAACTCCTGGGCTCAAGTGACACACCCACCTGAAGCTTCCAGAGATGCTAGGCATCTGCCCTGTGCTGGGCTCAAGAGCTGGTCATCAGCCTTTAAAGTTTAAGGGAATCCGGTTGTATCCTACAACACAGATGAACTTTGAGAATATCCTACTAAATTGAATACAAAAGGACAAGTACACTCACATGAGGTATCCAAGCTAGCCAAATGCTTAGAAATTGAAAGTAGGACAGTGTTTACAAGGGGCTGGAGGTGGAGAAAAAGGGGAATTGTTCAATGGGGACAGAGTTTCAGTTTTGCAAAATGAAAAACTGATAGCCATCTATTGCACAACAGCGTGCATATGGTTAGCACGACTGAACCAAACACCAAAAACATGGTGAAGGTGCTAAATTTTATGTTTCTTAATGTAACACAAAACATATAAGAACAAACAGATTCCAGATGTTTGACAACTGGAAAATTGCAGGAAGGGAAAAAGCATTCATTTTTTTCCTCAGTTGTCAAGGGTTTGAGCCAGGCCTATGCTGGGTAGGCATGAATGATACCAAGGTACACAAGACTCAGCCCCAGCCCTCGAGAAGCTAAGTTTCACTAATAATCACTAGATCGTGAACGTTAACATACCTGTTCATTTTGAAAATATGCTAATATGCTTACCAACTACAATACAGAGGCAGGCATGATGGTACACACCTGTAATCCCAGCACTCAGGAAGTTAGGTAGGAAGAATGCCAGTTTGAGGCCAGCATAGGTTACACAGGGAGACCCTGTCTCAAAACAAAACAAAACAAAAAATAATTATGGTAGAGGCTAATGTATTCAGTGATGGTGCTAAGTACAAAATACAAGCGTAAAGTGCAGGGAATGTTAAGAAGTCTGAGCTATGCCTTGGGTCATCAGAGGATAGAGGCCATAAACCTTGTCTTGAGTCTTAAAAGATGAGGAAGAGTTTGCTAGATCTGGAAGAAGAGGTCAGGCAGAAGGAATATTTAGAAAGAAATTGATAGGGCTGGGGATTTAGTGCAGTGGCTCTGCTGCCTGCCTTGCAAGCACAAGGACCTGAGTACCAGAAATAAAGTCCTGGTCCTAGTCCAGTACCAGAAAGAAAGAAAGAAATGAACAGACATGCAAAGCACCTACAAAGCTGTGGAGTTGGGCATGATCAAAGTACAACAAGAGCCGGAGTTAGTGCCGGAATGCAGACATCTAAAGTAAGGCAGATAGAAAAGAGAAAGCCGGAGACTTCTGTTTCCAAGCTGGAACTGGTGATACTAAGTTACAGCTCAGGAATCCCTGGCCTAGTCCTGAACACCTCCCTGCTAGTCCCCACAGTGACAGAGCCTGGCTAGGTGCTAACAAACCCACTTGCTCTTCCAAGAGAGCTAAACTACACTGCCTGAACTCTGCATACAAGTGGCGCCCCTTGATTAGTTATCACCCATGGAATGCGCTCTGACTGAGCAGTTAAGAGACAATATGCCTTCTCTGCTTCCTGTTTCCTTCCATCAGTCAGATGAAGCTTGGTCAACCTTGAAGCCCTCTTTGAAGACATTGGCATTGCAGCGTGGAAGCGAGCGTGGTGGCTGGTACTGGAGAGCTTACTCGCAGTATGCATTGTACCGTGCTGTCAGTGAGAAGCAGACCTTTAGTGCATTAAGCCGGACATTTCAAATCAATTATTATAGCAGCTGGTGTTGTTTGTCTTGGCCAACAGACTATCACAGTCCATTTCCTGACATCTTAAGACACTTTTCATACAAGATCATTTTTTAGTAATTTCCTTTTATTTTAAATTTTTAAGTGGCATGTGTTTTTCTCAGCTGTTCCTCGCTGTAACAAAATACCTGAGGCAAACAGCTTAAAGGAGGAAGGATTTATTTTGGCTCGCAGTTTCTGAGATTTTTAGTCTGTAGTTGGCTGGCTCCAGCACTGTGGAATTGAGATGAGGCAGAAACATCATGGCAAAAGGACATGACTTAGCAAAGCTGCTCACTTCATGGCATCTGGGAAGCAGAAAAAAGGGAAAGAATCAGTGGAAGGGGTCAGGGACCAGGTCTAGTCCCCAAGGTCAAGCACCCATGATCCTCTCCCTTCAATTAAGTCCACTTCCTATTTCTGTCACCTCTATAATGTTATGGCTTACGTTCAGATGCCTCCCACCCTAACCTCATGCGCCCATAGGTGGGGCTTTTTCAGAGGTGGCTGGATCTAGAGTGCGTGATGCTGGAATTAATTCAAGGTACGATGCTAAGGTCAAAGGCACTAGGGTAAGGTGTGAGTGCTTCCTGCCCCAAGTAGCCTGGATAACATATAAGGGACAGGAAGTGCTGTGGTCCTCTCTTGTTGCTTTGTTAACCTTCTTCATGCTGGGAACCATTTCTCCTCTGCAGTGCCTGTCTGCCATGCCACCCTGCCTTGGAGCCAGCCGATGATGGACTGAAATCTCTACAGACTGTGAGCCAATTAACCTTTCCCCCTTTAACTTTGGGTATCGGGTATTTTGTCTCAGCAATGAGGGAAGTAACTATGACAGCTCCCAATAATGACATCAAATTATGATCATGAATGGATCAACCCACTTGAAGTTGGAACCTTCATGATACAATCGCTCTCCCCAAAATCCATCAGATGGCAAACAAGCCTTGGAGAATATTTCTAATCCAAACCACAGCAGTTCATGTATTCCTAATTTTCTTTACTGGCAGTATTTTAAAAACATTACTTTTACAAGAGCAAATTGGAACTTACTAGTTTATTACATATCCTCAACCACAAGGTCACTGGGGAATATATAGAAAAGGCTTCCAGCCCAAACAATATTTTTTCCTTAGAGTTTTAGTGGCCAAAATGCTGCCATTTCATATTCACTCTGTTAGATGTTTTTATCCCAGGGAAAGATGTGGCATACGGTCAGGTGAGGTAACTCAGTGAGCTCTGCTGGTCACTGCTTTTGAAAAGTGTTCTGGTTCCTTCATGACTGAAGAGGAAGCAAGTGTTGGTGAGGGCAGCCCTGCACAGTGAGACGTGGCAAAAGTGTTTGCAATTGTGTGTCATGAAAACTAGGTTTCTACAGAGGTATCTTCAAGTCTTGCCTAAGGAGGCAGCAGATGAAGAAGCCAAATAAGCAGGGATCTGAACTCTGCTGTCCTCGTCTTATTAAAGCTTACCAGAGTCATTTTATCAGAGCTACTTTTCCTTTTAAATATTAGAGTTTCATGTTTACTTAAATTAAGAAGTTTCTAAGGTTAAAAATAAACAACACTTTAAGACTGCTCACGGATAAGTTCACAGCCACATGTGTGTCAGGAGGTGGCACCTACCCCACCCTGTTTCTTGCCTGCCTGCCTGCCTGCCTGTCATGGTCAAGGACCCTTTTCTTGTCCTGCTCCTCTGCCATCCTGTTCCTGCCATGGAGCTGGTTGCCTGTGGACTGAAATCATAAGCCAAAGAATAAACCTGTCCTCCTTTAATTAGTGGGTGTTTTGGCCCAGTAAGGAAAAAGTGACTAAGATAAGGTTGGGACACACCATGCAGTGTGGGGAGGGAAGGGTTCTCCTTTGTACACCTTCAACATATGGCCACGGTTAGAGCTTCTGTGTCTGGCTAAGGGAATTATGGGTGATCCCTAAGAAAACGAACTCTTACACCACGCAGCAAGGGAGACAGAGTTTAAAGTGCAAGCATAACAAACACAACTGGCCTGGCAGACCATTCTGATGTTGCAGGAGCCACATGAAGGTTAAAAAAAGAAGAAGAAAAAAAAAAGAGGAGGAGAACAACAGCAATGACAACAGCAACTAATCAGATCTGAAAAGTGACCATAATAATTGAATGCTCAAAAGAGTACTGAGAGTATTGAAGTATGAATAATTAACATTCACTTCTGCAACCACTGACTATTCTCCAAAGTGTGTACTATAGTTAATAAGTAATGATATTCTGAGGCAGTCACAATTACCTTACCATTTAAAAACCAAACATCCAAACATAAAGGCAGAACTCA